CCAGAGCAGCTGGGTCCAGGATGGGGGGCCAGGGACAGGCTAAGAGAGGGTGGGCCGGGAGGGGAGGGCGTGGGGGGCGAGGCCCGCTGGACGGGGTCTCCAGAGGGAGTGACTGCCCCACGGGCGGGCCTGGGACAGGAGGATGGCAGCTTGTCCGGGCACATCACACAAGCGTGCCCTTTTCCTTTCTTCTCTGGGAAGAGTTCTCTGACACAAGGGTCAGGCCCCCTCCCTGCAGGCTCTCTGGGGGCGTCCCAGCATGAAGGGCCTACAAGGGCACAGCCCTGAGCAGAAACACACGTCCGAAGGAGCACCTGCTGCGCCACGGCCACTGCCAGGCGCCCCGTGTCGGCCAGCCCCCAGCCACCCCTCCGCCAGGCGCTGCAGGCTCCCTGGCCGGCAAACATGGTTTCTGATCTTTCTTACCTGGTAACCAAGCCGGGCCCTCGCTGGGCTGTCTGCCTGGCGTGTGGTGGCCTCCGTCCTCCTCCGCAGGGACTCTGCAGGCCGCGCAGCCCTGGGAGGGGGGAGGGCGGGAGAAACAGGAAAGCACCCCTCCTCCTTCCACGGGGCGGGCAGTGGGTTTCAGAGCTGTGCGAGCCCGCATTCTGGAGAGACAAAGGTGAAAGAGGACAGGGGCCCTGTGAGAACGGACACGTGTGGGTCCGGACGCCGCGAGCCAGGCGCGCAGGACACGCGCAGGATCGCGGAGCTGTGTGCGCGTGGGCAGCGGGTACAGCCACTGACCCTGCCCATCAGCACGGAACTGGCCGCTCCCCGGGACTCAGGACAACCTCCGCGCCTCAGGGTCAGCGCCGGGCACGGGCAGGGTCTGGCAGGGAGGATCAGGATGCGGAGTGGCCCAGAGGCAAAGGGCTTCCTCACAGGAGAGAAACAGGGAGCCCCTCCCTCTAGGAGCCCGCAGGGCGGCTTCTCTCCTGGGATTCCAGGGAATGCTGTGTAGACGGCAGTGAGTGAGCGGAAGGCCTGGAGTTTCTGCTGGTGGTTTATGTAGAAACGACTAGGTAGCTTTAGAGGATGCAGTCGGTGGTCAGCGATACGCACCTCTGACGCTGAGCCGTAAGTCGCCCGGAGCCTCTGGGAGCGCTCCTTTGTCCCCTGCGCCCGACGCGGGCCGGGGGAAGGGCGGCATTCCACTGCCCTTGCCTTCGGCTCCGTGTCGCCCAGTCCCCCTTCCTGCAGGAGGGCAGAGCGGTGTCCCAGTGCTTCTCATCGCGAGAACTTGCACCGCCAAGATGCTCGGGTCTTGGGGATAGAGCTGTTGGGGAGGAAGGAAGTTTCCACCCCCCTTCTAGGTCCTTCTGGCTGCTCTAAGAATTAAACTGACATGAGACAGATGAATAGGAGAAAGTAAAACGAAAGTTGAGTAACATAAATACGTGGAAGAGACTCAGGGGAACTGATTCACTCACCAAAATGGCCCCACCCTCACCTTATTTACTTTTCCTTTTATTTTTTCAATCAAAATACAGTCGGTTTACAATGTTGTGTCAGTTTCTGGTGCGCAGCATCCTGTTTCAGTCACACGTATCTGTACGTACTTTCCTTCTTCATGTTCTTTTTCATTAACACCATCTTCAGCTAAAGACAAAAGACTTTGGGGGCAGGGCTTTGGAACTTCAAAGGGGAGGAGGGCGAGTCACCTGGAGACGGAAAAGCAAACGTGTGGAAACGAGCAGTGCCGGGCCAAGCAGAGAGATGGGGCCCAGGGAGGTGTCTTAACAGCAACCCTGCAGGTTCCTCCCCGTCTGCGCTCCTGGTTCACACTGCTCATCTCTGGGACGCCCCCTCCCGGAGCAGCACCCGCGCACAGCCTCTACGTTCTGCAGGTGGCTGGGGGGAGGGGGAAGTTTCTCCCTGAGTCTTTTGGGCCGTGATTGTTTCAGCTCAGAATACTCTGCATGCCAAAGAGGGGTTTTGGGGGCAAATGCTGCTTCCCCCACTTGGAACCAGGTGCCAGAGACACAGAGGTTGGGTGACCTGCTGCATTTCAAACTTGTGACTGTCCGTTTAGCCACCGCCCCAGGATCAGACTTGTCCCCAAGGTCCAAGAAGCAGCTCATGCGGGCAGTGCTCGCAGCCCGGGTGCTCTAGGACTTGCGGGGTGAGGCCACGTGGGCTCACGAAGCTGGCTCGGTGCTGACCTGCCTCAGCCGGAGGTGCCTCCGTGCCCGGCGTCCAGGTCAGGCGAGCAGGCCTGGCTTCGTTCCTTCAACTCGGTGAGGACATGTGCTTAGGGAGGACGCCAGCTTTAGACACCTCTGTTAGATTCAAGGCCACAGAGCCCGCCAGAGCGAGTCCAGTCCAGGAAGGCGCTCTGCTGCATTAGGTACCTGATCCATCTAGGCATCGACACGTGCGTGTGCTGTGCATGAATCAGCTCCGTTCGTTACGGGCGTTCGTGGCCACGGGGCTGAGGGAGCCAGGAAGCTTATGCTTCATATGATGAGGAAGTTGCTGGGGGATTTGATGCCCTCAGAGTTTTCTTGCCTCCTGAACTTGGCTCCGTCTCAAGGCCGGCCATGTGCCTCTTCGGGAACTGTGCGGTCCACCTCCCACCCACAGACGTCACCTCAGGCAGGCCCTGCGTCCCGCTGTCCACACATCCCCGCTTCCTTCCATGCACACTGCCAAAGGCCTCCTGTTTCTTTGCCTGGTCCTATCCTGTGCGGGCTGCTTGTGGCCTTTCAGGCAGGTGGTACTTGAGCCAGGTCTTCCACTGCCTCGTCCAGATGCGAGAGAGGCCCAGTGCTGCAGGCCGGAGCCCAGGCGCTGCCTTCAGACCAGTGACTGACAGGACAGATGCCAGGCAGGTGCGGCCGTGGGCATGTCCAGCAGGGGCCCTCCTGCAGGACACGGGGAGCACAGGTAGGGCGGCTGGAGGGGCACACGGATGCATAAGGCAGGCGGAGCTCAGAGGGGCTGGACGTTGATGCAGACGATGCCAGGGTCTAGCTCGCTGGAGTTCTGTGCAGGGTATTAATTAATCTGCCGTCTTCTTGAACTTGACCCTGGGCCGTGGCCTTGCAAGTTCTGACAGTAACGGGGTAGCGATCACCTGCACACGGTGGTGATCTGAGCCTCAGCTCCCCTCCCCGCCCAGGCCGGCTCCCCTCTCCTCAGCTGCGCCCACGGGACCGAGGCTGTGGAGGGCTCCTGCCAGCGCGGCCTGGCGTGCCGTGCGGAGCCGGACCGCGGACCGC